CATGTGGTATTTGTCTTTCTGTGCCTGGCAAATTTCACTTAACATAGTGATTTTCAGTTCCATCTATTGTACTGCAAATGTCACAATTTCATTGTTTTTTGGCTGAAAAAATCTCATTGTATATATAAACTACATTTTCTTTATTCATTCATTTATTTATGGATATCTCAATTGATTTCATTGATTCACTATTGTGACTAGTGCTGTAATGAACATGAAATTGCAGATATCTCTTTTTTTCTTCAGCAACTTTAATGATAAAAATCTTTCATGTTCTCAAAAAATGGAAAACCAGAAGGCAACAGTCTGGCAGTACAAAAATATACAGCTGGAAGAGATTACCACCAACTAGATGTGACAACTAAACCCCAGTCCACATCTTGAAAATAAAAGCACATTTAGACAGAATACTAAACCAGTGGTTCTTATATGCCCAAGGATGTTCACCACTTAGAACACTTCCAAATTCACAGGGCTGGACCATCCTGGAAAGTTAAATGAATGATCCTGGAATCTGGCTGTGTTTTGAATCATCTCTATAAAGATGTCATAACTGACTAATCAGCGCTGTACTAAAATGAAGCAGTGTTCTACAATAAAAGCTACCAGGATTTCTCATCCAGATTATGGTTTGAGTGTGAACCACAACAGATCATCATCTAATGAATGGAGGTACCATCTAGGGATCGCATGATCATTTTAACATGACCTGTAAGATGTATGTTCAAGTTTATAAATGGTAGTTAAAGGCCATCTGTATCCAATAAAAACTTTGTCAGGCTAATTTTATTTTCAACTTTTTGCTCAAGTTGTAGATATCAGAAGCAACCACAATGGAACTGAGAATTATAGAGCAAATACTTTCAAAACATAAAAACTCCTTAGATGCTTACATATCACTAAGTAATAGTGATTTTCAATGAACATCTGTAAACATACACTGTAGGTCAAATGATTCCTGTTTTAGTATTATACGCAACTCAGAAGGTGGCTAACGTGACCTGCGGTTTCTAAAATCACAGGAGCTTTAAAACTTCAGCTAATCTAGGGGCCAGCGCAGTGGTGTAGCAGGCTAAAGCAGCTGCCTGCAGTGCTGGCATCCCCTATGGGCGCCAGTTCAAGACGCGGCTGCTCCACTTCTGATCCAGCTCTCTGCTATGGCCTGGGAAAGCAGTAGAAGATGGCCCAAGTGCTTGGGCCCCTGTACCCATGTGGGAGACCTAGAAGAAGCTCCTGGCTCCTGGCTTCAGATCGGCACAGCTCCGGCTGTTGCAGCCAATTGGGGAGTGAACCAGCAGATGAAAGACCTCTCTCTCTCTCTCTCTCTCTCTCTCTCTCTCTCTTCTCCTTCTCTCTCTGTGTAACTCTGACTTTCAAATAAATAAATAAATCTTTAAAAAATAAAAATTTCAGCCAATCTAAATATGCAGTTCAAGGTTTCAACAATTTTCATGTTCCATATTTACCTAGCATAAGACATAAAATTGTGTTAGGGCTTCATCTTAGTGACGCAAGTTAGGGTAACTCGCTAATGAGATCTTTATTTCAGTTTACTTATTTGCCTATCACCCATATTCTATCCATAATCAATCGTCCTTTATACATAAAAATTTCCAATTTAAGACTCTTAAGTAGTAGTATACTGTCCCCCCTCCCCGGAAAGCCCATTTTTAAGTGTCTTCTGTAACTTCTTAGCTATCTTGGTTTATTAGCAAAAGGAACAGGTTTTATAGGCTAACCAGAAATGTCAAGGCAAGAATGAAGTCAGAGGTCCCAGTCAACCATCAGGCAATCTGAAGTCTCTTCCCTGAACTACCACAACTGCTCAGACTCATCCTCAACCTTCCTGACATCAGTTCTCTTCTCCCTTATTATCAGTGTAAAAAGTTAACGAGACCTTCTGGAAATAACTTGTATTTAGGGATCTGTTTTTTTTTTTAACTTTTATTTAATGAATATAAATTTCCAAAGTACAATTTATGGATTATAATGGCTTCCCCCACATACCGTCCCTCACACCCACTACCCTCCCCTTTCCCACTCCCTCTCCCCTTCCATTCACATCAAGATTCATTTTCGATTATCTTAATATACAGAAGATCAGCTTAGTATACATTAAGTAAGGATTTCAACAGTTTGCTCCCACACAGAAACATAAAGTGAAAAATAATAGATGATTTTTTTAAAATGATGATGAAATCAGATCAGATCTATTGTCATGTTTAATCCCAGTGAGAGTCAAGTTGGGAGTTGAGAATTTCTTTTTTCTTTTGTTATTAATATTTTATACAGAGGATCAGTTTAGTATACATTAAGCAAAGATTTCAACAGTTTGCACCCCCATAGAAACACAAAGTGAAATATATTGTTTGAGTACTCGTTATAGCATTAAATCTCAATACACAGCACATTAAGGACAGAGATCCTACATGAGGAGTAAGTGCACAGTGACTCCTGTTGTTGACTTTACCAATTGACACTCCTGTCTATGGCATCAGTAGTCTCCCTATGCTCCAGTCATGAGTTTCCAAGGCTATGGAAGCCCTCTGAGTTCTCCGACTCTTATCTTGTTTAGACAAGGTCATAGTCAAAGTGGAGGTTCTCTCCTCCCTTCAGAGAAAGGTACCTCCTTCTTTGAAGACCTGTTCTTTCCACTGGGATCTCACTCGCAGAGATCTTTTGCCAGAGTGTCTTGGCTTTCCATGCCTGAAATACTCTCATGGGCTTTTCAGCCAGATCCGAATGCCTTTAGGGCTGATTCTTAGGCCAGAGTGCTATTTAGGACATCTGCCATTCTATGAGTCTGCTGAGTATCTCACTTCCCATGTTGGATCACTCTCCCCTTTATTTATTCCATCGGTTAGTGTTAGCAGGTACTAGACTTGTTTATGTGCTCCCTTTGACTCTTAGTCCTTTCATTATGATCAATTGTGAACTGAAATTGATCACTTGGACTAGTGAGATGGCATTGGTACATGCCACCCTGATGGGATTGAATTGGAATCCCCTGTTATGTTTTTAACTCTACCATTTGGTGCAAGTCAGCTTGAGCTTGTCCCAAATTATACATCTCTTCCCTCTCTTATTCCCACTCTTATGTTTAACAGGGATCACATTTCAGTTAATTTTTAACACTTAAGAATAACTGTGTATTAATTACAGAATTAAACCAGTCATATTAAGTAGAACAGACAAAAAAAAAACTACTAAGAGGGATAATGTATTAAGTTGTTCATTAACAGTCAGGGCTATGCTGATCAAGTCACCGTTTCCCATAGTGTCCATTTCACTTCAGGAGGTTTCCTTTTTGGTGTTCAGTCAGTTGTCACCAATCAGGGAGAACATATGGTATTACTTAGGGGACCCAAAGAACTCTACTAAGAGACTATTGGAACTCATAGAAGATTTTGGCAAAGTAGCAGGGTATAAAATCAATGCACAAAAATCAACAGCCTTTGTATACACAGACAATGCCATGGCTGAGGAAGAACTTCTAAGATCAATCCCATTCACAATAGCTACAAAAACAATCAAATACCTTGGAATAAACTTAACCAAGGACGTTAAAGATCTCTACGATGAAAATTACAAAACCTTAAAGAAAGAAATAGAAGAGGATACCAAGAAATGGAAAAATCTTCCATGCTCATGGATTGGAAGAATCAATATCATCAAAATGTCCATTCTCCCAAAAGCAATTTATAAATTCAATGCAATACCAATCAAGATACCAAAGACCTTCTTCTCAGATATGGAAAAATTGGTGCTGAAATTCATATGGAGGCACAAGAGACCTCGAATAGCTAAAGCAATCTTGTACAACAAAAACAAAGCCGGAGGCATCACAATACCAGATTTCAGGACATACTACAGGGCAGTTGTAATCAAAACAGCATGGTACTGGTACAGAAACAGATGGATAGACCAATGGAACAGAATTGAAACACCAGAAATCAACCCAAACATCTACAGCCAACTTATATTTGATCAAGGATCTAAAACTAATTCCTGGAGCAAGGACAGTCTGTTCAATAAATGGTGCTGGGAAAATTGGATTTCCACGTGCAGAATCATGAAGCAAGACCCCTACCTTACACCTTACACAAAAATCCACTCAACATGGATTAAAGACCTAAATCTACGACCTGACACCATCAAGTTACTAGAGAACATTGGAGAAACCCTTCAAGATATTGGCACAGGCAAAGAATTTCTGGAAAAGACCCGGGAGGCACAGGCAGTCAAAGCCAAAATTAACTATTGGGATTGCATCAAATTGAGAAGTTTCTGTACTGCAAAAGAAACAGTCAGGAGAGTGAAGAGACAACCGACAGAATGGGAAAAAATATTTGCAAACTATGCAACAGATAAAGGGTTAATAACCAGAATCTACAAAGAGATCAAGAAACTCCACAAAAACAAAACCAACAACCCACTTAAGAGATGGGCCAAGGACCTCAATAGACATTTTTCAAAAGAGGAAATCCAAATGGCCAACAGGCACATGAAAAAATGTTCAAGGTCATTAGCAATCAGGGAAATGCAAATCAAAACCACAATGAGGTTTCACCTCACCCCGGTTAGAATGGCTCACATACAGAAATCTACCAACAACAGATGCTGGAGAGGATGTGGGGAAAAAGGGACACTAACCCACTGTTGGTGGGAATGCAAACTGGTCAAGCCACTATGGAAGTCAGTCTGGAGATCCCTCAGAAACCTGAAGATAACCCTACCGTTCGACCCAGCCATCCCACTCCTTGGAATTTACCCAAAGGAGTTTAAATTGGCAAACAAAAAAGCGGTCTGCAGCCTAATGTTTATTGCAGCTCAATTCACAATAGCTAAGACCTGGAACCAACCTAAATGCCCATCAACGGTAGACTGGATAAAGAAATTATGGGATATGTACTCTTTAGAATACTATACCGCAGTAAGAAACAACGAAATCCAGTCATTTGCAACAAAATGGAGGAATCTGGAACACATCATGCTGAGTGAAATAAGCCAGTCCCAAAGGGATCTGTTATTTTAAAATAGCCTTATAGACAGAACTCTGAATGCAATGACTTATCTTTCATATTAAACACAAGTCAGTACAGCATACTCCAAAGCTATTTTGGAGGAGCACATTTAAGGAAACTAAGCCACGTGACTTTGCATTATGATTTAATATAATCGCACAGAAATTGTGAAGTCACAGTGTCTCTCAGTTTCTAAGAGGAAAGTGATGCATGCCGCCATATTCAAATCTGCACTGTTACATTTGAACCATATTGTAAATGTTACAATGTGATGGGTCAGTTTAGAATTACCATGCAACACCTCAAATTACAAAATGGAAGCAATTTTTAAAACTTTGTGTTAAGATTTCATGCTAAGGATAAAAGCCTTTTTTTAGACGGGCAACTTATTTTTTTTTTTAAAGATGTATTTTATTTATTTTAAAGACAGAGTTACAGAGTGAGGTAGAGCCAGAGAGAGAAAGAGAAAGAGAGAGAGAAAAATCTTCCATCCACTGGTTCACTCCTCAGATGGCTGCAACGGCCAGAGCTGAGCTGATCCGGAGCCAGGAGCCAGGAGCCAGGAGCTTCTTCCTGGCCTCCTATGTGGACACAAGGGCCCAAGGACTTGGGCCATCTTCTACTGCTTTCCCAGGCCATAGCAGACAGCTGGATAGAAAGTGGAGCAGCCAGGACTCAAACCAGCGCCCATATGGGTTGCCGGCGCTGCAGGCTGCAGCTTTAACCTGCTTCGCCACAGCGCCAGGGCAACCTATTTTGGGTTACAATGTACCGGCTTTGCTGCTATAAAATGTAGTTCACTAAGTTATCACAGAATCTGAACTGGCTTCAACACCTACAAAATTAGTAACTATTAACAATCACTTTGGTGATGACCAAAAATCTCCTTCATTGCAAGACTAATCAGTTTTTTCTTTCAGGAATTATATATAACCAATTGTTTTCCATGGGATAAGAACAATGGTAACAGTGGGCTCGACTGACTATTACACAATTATGCTAATATTTATTAATTCAAAAGCACTTTATAAGAAAATATAAGTATGGCTTCCAAATAGGAATGTTATACTTGGACTTGGTACCAAGTTCATAGATTTGAGTTTGCAAGGAAAAATAGGCTTTCAAGTTAAACAACAATTTTTAACCAAAACTTTAATCCCAAAGATACTCACAAAAACATATTACAAATGACAGCATGAAAAAAATAATAATCTTGCACAGTAACTCAAAGTTCAGCTCTACAATGTACTCTTAAACTGGCAGGACATTGGTATTTTTTGAAACTTCAAATTTCCCAATAAAGACTGCTACACAAACAGCTATGTATTCTATATTGCAATTATGTAAGGAACTTACCACCTAGGCAAATGTAAACTTTCTCAAAACTTACTAAATTCTAGACCAACTAGACAACCTCTGTCCAAGGTAAGACCAGCTGGGTTTTTCCAAAAACCTTTCATCTATTTTAATGGTGCAGCTTTTATATTTACCTGCTTCTAAAGACTGCTTGTTTACCTATAGCTTTGTACTATATACCAGCTAAGGAAAAAAAAGCACATTTTAGTTCAGTTTTTGACAGTGCGGTTTTTACAATATTAAAACATCACACTTCGTTTCGCTGAGCAGGATTTTGAGGTCATCAGTCTTTGCAAGACTAAAGCTCAAAAGTAAATTCAATCTTGCTTAAGGGAACATCCTAAAGTAACAATTCTTGGTATCACATGCCTCATATGATCCATTTCAAACCATAGAGAATGACAGCTTTTTGTGTGTCACTGTTCCAAGAGACAAATCTGAACAGCTAAACCATCTTCAAAATGCACCAAGCTTATGAAGTCTCAAACAAAACTTGAATTTTCCGTACAAACTCTTGTCAAATGAAGTTGTTTCCTGTACACCACTGCTCTTGTAAATGACTCTTCTATTTTCTTTCATTCGCCATAGATCAGCTAGAGAAGGATCGGGATGGCTTGTGATTTCTCTCCCGAGACGGCGATCTTTCTCGTCTCCTACCTCTAGAAAGGGACGTGCTCCAGCTGCGAGAGAGGCTTCCGCTTCTTGGAGATCTTCGGGGAGGTGGAGGACTCCTCCTGCGATAATCATCTCGAGGGCGACGACCCCAGGAGGGAGGTGGGCACGATTTCTACTTCTTTTTTCCACCATTCGACAGTTCCACTCTCACACAGCAGCCACACAGCGTTCCATCTAGCTCTCCGACGGCATCAGCAGCAACCCGGGGGTCTTCAAATTCAACAAAAGCGAAGCCAGGAGGGTTTCTGGCAACCCACACACAATAGCCAAAGGCCTGTTCGATTCAGTCTTGTTGCCAATGGACAGGAATCACGATGCATTTCGAAATCTAAGGTTAGGCGTGGGGAGGCTCAACTCCACAAGCTCCCAAGGATCTTCCTGCTCTGCGCTGCCCCGCTCCGGCCTGGCCTGGCTCCCGCAGATACTCCCTCTCCCTCCCTCGGTGTCTGAAATGGCCCAGATATCTCTTTTATATGCTGATTTCATGTCCTTTGAACCTATGCTCAGAAGTAGCATAACTGGGTCATATGAGAGTCGCTGTGCTTTCTGTATAGCTTCTATAATGTTCTCCATAACGGCTATACTGACTTTCATTCACACCAATAGTTTATGTAGGTTTTACTTTTTTCACCTCCTTACCAGCATTTAATATTTTGCTTTTTGATAATAGCCATTCTGACTGAAGTGAGAGGATACCTCGTGTGCTTTCAATTTGCATTTCCCTGATGGCTGGCTATGCTGAGTATTTTTAAATATATTTTTCCTTTTGTACTTCTTCTGAAAAGTGTCTGTTCAGACCACTTACTCACTTTTTTACTGTATTGATGATTTTTTGTTTTATTTTTCCATCCTTATATATTTTTTTGTTTCTTATGTATTTTTTTGGTTCTTGTGTGTTCTGGATATTAGTCCTTTGTCACATGCATAGTTTGCAAATATTTTCAACCCATTCTATCAGATATTTCCTCACTCTGTTTATTATTTGATTTGCTATGCAGAAGTTTCTTGGATTGATATAATTCCATTTGTCTATTTTTACTTTTATGATCTTAAAAATACTGTTGCCTATTCTAATGTCTTGCAGTGTTCCCACATTGTTTTCTTAGAGTAGTTTCATAGTTTCAGGGTCTTGTCTTAGTGGTAGGCTAATTTACCTAATTTAAAATCTGTTCTGCTGCTATCTAACAAAATTTAAGAGAAAGACACTGACAGATCAGATTGTAAACAAGTAATGTGACATTTCCAGGACAAAGCTAAAATATAGTTAGAAGAATATTAAAAAAATCCACCACCAAAATTATACAAGTAATGCTCACAATATCTTCTGTTCAGCCAAAAATTAAGAAGAATTTAAAGAAACAGAAAAATACAGCCCATGACAAGGAAAATATCAGTTGGTTGTTTCTCACTTAGAATGACAGACATGACCAATCTTGAAGATAAAAACATTTTAAAAGTGGTTATAAATGTATTTTGGATATTCAAGAAACCAAAGGGGAGATTAAATATGTTTGCTAGAGGTAACAGATTTTTTAAAAAAAATATATTTTGGAGAACAAAATAGGGACATTTAGGAATTAGTTTAAGAGCATTTTATAAATTTAAATTGAGCACATACTTTGACCCAGCAATCTATCCTAAGAAGAGTCATAGTATGAATATCTTTTAATACAGCAATTCCCTTTCTAGGCATTTAACCAACAGAAGAAATCAGACAAGTACCCAAAGGTGTGTAAAGAAAAATCCCCATTAGAATGTTATTTGTAAAAGCAAAACAACAGAGTTGGAAACAAGTGAAATGTCCTCCAAATTTATTTAACTAGATTCTGATGTGGTAGTCATTAATGGGATATATGATTTATATAGACACTAACATTATGATACATAATTGTAATCAGGTACAATTAAATATGATAGTGCAAATAAACCCACAAAATATTTTTAAGTAAAGAAAGTTTATATAATATGTAAAATTTAATCATCCACTCCTTTTTTGTTTCAAAAACAATCAATGTGTGTATATGGGCATGGCCAGAAAACTATCTAGAAGGATATAAAGTTGTGCGCTGTGATTATCTCTGACTAGTGGGCTTGCTTGCTTGCTTCCTTCCTTCCTCTCTCTTTCTCTTTTTCTTCCTTTTTTTCTCTCTCTTCTTTCCTCCTTCTGTTTATCTTTCCTTCCTTTCTTTCTCTTTCCCCCCTCCTCCTTCCCTCCTTCTCACTCTTACCCCCCCCCCCTTCCCTTTCTTTCCCTCTCCTTGCTTCCTTCTTCCTTTGGAGTTTTTTTTTTTTATTGTTGTAAGAGTACTCACTAATTTTACAGTAGTTTTTAACTTAACAAAACTATTTACATTTGGTAAAAATACCTGTTTTTGTATCCCCTATACCTTGTGATCACAAATTTCTTTCAATTATGGGGTGTTTCATACTGCTTAGGAAATGGAAATATGGTTATAAAAAATTGTTGGTCTTTATTTTTCTTTTAATGTGATCTTAAACATTATTTGTCTATTTCCCTAATAGCTATTGTTGGTGAATTTGTGCTTTTGCTGTCAGAGTCAATTTGCAAATTGCATTTTATTTTATATTTGCTACTTAGACATTTTTAAAAATGAATTCAAATGACTAATTTTCATGGCCTTACCCTTGGCATACATGAACAAAGCTCTGGATAAGAAGTAAGCCATCATCACAACAAATGATCAGATGTCTCCCTGCCAGGTCTTTCAGTGTTTTCTAAACAACCATCCCCAAGAAGAGCCCAATCACTAGGTTAGATCTTCATCCAACTATTTTATAGGTTCTTTCTTAGCACGAATCAATCCAAAGAGTCTAACAGGGTCATCATGAATATTTTCCTCTATTTCCTGGCTCTCTGGTGAGAAACTGTCTACCAAAGTGGCCTCAGTAATGCTGGCATCCATTGCGTGTGATTGCTCATTTTCATCCTTGTCTGAAAAAGTGTTCTGTTTCCTGGGCTTTCTGCGCTTCCCCTTAAAGCTGTGATCGAGTGAGGCATAAAACATCTGTGTTTCAGTCGTTGCCTGAAAAGAAAGATATGTTAGTTTGTTCTTTAACTTTGATGACTTCTGGAAATTTTTATGGTCTATGAAAGTAAATAAGTTGTTGTCTGTGCTTGTTACTTGGTTTTACCACATTTATCACTTAAGATGACAGACTGAAAAGCAATAGTCAACTCAAGACTTCTGAGTTGGAAAAATTTCTTAGATGAAAATTTTAATGGATTTTTATTTATTTCTTATAAAGGTGACATGCACATTTCATATTTATTCACACCTGCACCTACATGTTCCTTCTCTTCCAATAACTCTTGCCATATATTGCTCTTACTAACAATACTTCATTTTATTAAAGTGGCACCAGGCATGATAGAAAGAAATTAGACAAGTCACAAAGTCTACATAATAAGTATTTAATCATTGGTCACTTAATGATATTCAAAGAAGTCCCCAATTTTTCTACATTTTTAAATTTCACCAGTACAAATATAATAGTATCCATCCGTATGAAGGTCATTGGGTAAAGAATTAAATTTACCATCTTCTCCTATTATTTCCTTCTTGTCTTACTATCTCTTGATCCCTAAGGTTAACCTTGGAAATACACATTCACATCCAAGAATGTCAGGTGGTCTTCCCTGGTCCAAAGCAGAGTCAATACTGGGACAAGTAGAACAGGAGAACAGGGTAACTTGGGAAGCAACAGGCTGAATGCAAGACCTTGAATTTGGTATGAAAAGCTTTGGTCTGAATACTGATTCTGCCATATACTGATTATAGGAAATTGAGCAGTTTTAATAAACAATTTGGACCCTCAATTTCTTTGCTTGTAAAACGAGAGTAGTGATACCTATCTCCCAGGATTGTTATAGTTAGTCAATAGAAATAATATATATGGAGGCTACAAGTATTTGAACTATTCTCCAAAGCCAGATGGTATTATAAATATTAAGAATTATAATCTAAAAATGTATGACAACCATTGAATAAACCAAGTATTTCTATATTGAAAATTTAAGTTCAAGCCTAGGTCAAATTATATTAATATGGGGAAGGTAAGGGCTGAGGAAACAACATTTGGAGTAACAAAACTGCTAATTCTTCTCCCTATTAGCACTCATTTTCATGGTAAGAGAGTCTTATGTTTTCTACAAGGCAAAACAGTTGGTTCTACTTACAACTTCGGTTTCTTTGTCTTTTTATTCATAAAATCATCATTACTGGAAAATTGTAATTCAGACCTGACTGGTGTGTTTGTTCTAGTCTCTTTCCCCTGCCATTTATCTCATCTACTTCCTTCAAATTATCTTCCAATTACATAACATTTAAGTTCCATGACCCTTTCCTCTGAAATCTTAGCCTGTACACTAAACTCTTAATTTCATATTCTGCCCTTCAAGATTTTCCCTATTTTACACTAGTCACATTTTCAATTTTGATTTCCACTAGTCCCCTTGCATAAACTCTGTACTCCAGGCAAATGTGACAATTTACTCTTCCTGTACCTCTGTTATAGATTCACCAGGTTTGACTCTGACTAGACAGGTGGGGAAGATGTCAATGGAGTTGGACAAGCACTTGGTAACACAAAGGGGTGAAATATATATATATATATATGTACATATATACACACATATATGTGTGTATATGTGTGTGTGGATAGTTTTCATTTTAATTGGAAAGGGGACACACACACACATATAATGAGAGAGAGAGAGAGACAGAGACAGAGAGAGGTTTACCTGGTGATTCCCTCTCCAAATACCTCCAACAACCATGACTCCACCAGGTTGAAGCCAGGAAACCAGAAGTCAATCTCAGTCACCTACATTGACGGCAGGGACCCAAGTACTTGAGCCATCATCTATTGCTTGCCAGGATGCACATTAGCAGGAATCCAGATTGGAAGCCAGGTACGCAGGCATCCCAAGCAGTGTCCTTTTTTTTTTTTTTTGCAGAGTGATAAGGCTTAATTGGGGATAGGGCATCCATCAGAACAGAAGGGACAGAGAGAGAGCACCCAGTCGCTCAGACTGGGGGACAGCGAGGTTACATGGTTGAGTGGAGAAAATACACCTGGGCAGGCCAGGTGGACAGAGAGGCAGAGACTGAGCGCAGTCTGTTTGGACTCCCTAGCTTTTTAAGGGAGTCTGTTTACCCACCTCCCCCTCTCCTCCAGGACAAAGGATGGAGAGTCCTGGTGGAAGGGCTTGTTGGGTGAAAATTAGCAAATTCCTCCCCAGATTTGCTGGCACCCAGGCAGAGTAGGGGGCTTCCCTTAGGGCACGTCTGAGAAGGTTTTATTACCCCATTTTATCAGGTCAGGTAACCCATTTGGTCCAGAGGAGAGAGAATTCTCCTGGGAGCTTTCCTTGGGGGAAGGGCTGGGACCACCTGGGAGGGTATGGGGTCTGAGCAGGACTTTGAAGAGCAAGATTCTGGGCATCTGGAGCTTCCGCAGCAGGTGCTGGTCTTCAGGCCTGTCTCACAAACACACATAAGCTTAATTTCTGACTTCCTACCTAACATATCCCCCTCAAAAGAGAAAGAAAAACCCATAATCTTATAATGATAAATGGGCAGAAGTCTGTATTCTGTAGCTACTTCGGAAGCTGACAACTGGGTGTAAAGTTGGATATGGGTATTTTTCTCTTGCTGTCTGTGCTATGGTGTTTGAGAGTGGCCTCAGGAAGCATTGTCCTGCTTGGTCCAGAGGGCAATCACCTTGCCTGAGGTAGTCTGGAAGCTGTGTCTTAGAAGCACTTGCAGCCAGATGGCTTGTCTTCTCCCAAGCAGTGTCTTTCTTATTTTTTTTTTCTTTTTGACAGGCAGAGTGGACAGTGAGAGAGAGAGACAGAGAGAAAGGTCTTCCTTTTGCCGTTGGTTCATCCTCCAATGGCTGCCACGGCCAGCGCACTGCGGCCGGCGCACCGCGCTGATCAGAAGCCAGGAGCCAGGTGCTTCTCCTGCTCTCCCATGTGGGTGCAGGGCCCAAGGACTTGGGCCATCCTCCACTGCACTCCCGGGCCATAGCAGAGAGCTGGCCTGGAAGAGGGGCAACCAGGACAGAATCCAGCACCCCGACCGGGACTAGAACCCGGTGTGCCGGCGCCGCAAGGTGGAGGATTAGCCTAGTGAGCTGCGGCGCCGGCCCCAAGCAGTGTCTTAACCACTGCACCAATGCTCACCTCTGGATTTCTTTTGGTCTGCCCATCACTTTGTTCTATCCTTCTTCTTTTTTAAAAAATATACCCCCTTTCTTTTGGGAAATTCCTTCCCACTACCTGTTTCTAAAGAGGCTGTCATTTATAGTGCAATGCAGCAGGTCCAGCACAGGATTAGCACAGGATTAAGTATGCTGCATATGCTGTATCTCAATCATTATTTGCCACCCATTATGCTAACAAAAGAGTGTAACCAATGGCATGTAATTTAAGAAGAGCCACTTTGGGACTGCTACATACATTCAAGGAACAAAAGTCTTTTTTTTTTTTTTTCTAGGATCAGGAGGAAAATCATCTGAGGCTTCCTCTAGCTTGCCAGCTCTCAAAGGAAAAGTTTGTTGATAACGGAAGAGAATGAAATCAGTAACTTCATAAAGAGTAATGGAGAGCACCCCCTTATTCAATTACCTCAAAGCAAAATATATGCTTAGATACCCATTATATGAGGCAATAATTTCCGTCTGATGATAAGTTGATTTGAATTCAGTTTCTGTACTTATTACTGAAATCTTTCCAAATACCATAATGGAGATCTAGAAAACACTTGGCCAACTTCATGAAATGTTCAAAGAATCGGACTCTTGAGAATGGGCCATGAATCTGTACATTTAATAGTCATGTGAGACTTTGACAGCACTGTTACAGTTAAGTGCATGGGTGGAAGATATCTAGCCAGGGTGAAAGAATGAACATCTAAGGAAAGAAATAGAAACAACAGAGGAGGGGAAGAACTATTTAGAAATTAGAGGAACAAACAATGGAACTAAGGTATTGTTCTGTGGGTTTTTTTAATGTTGAGAAATTTGTATATATTGGTAAGCAAATAATAATGATTAATTTAAAGACAAACATGAAAATGGAGAAAAGTTAAATAACAAAAGATCCAAAATCTACAAAGAATTAGGGGAAATAGTTAGGAGCATAAGTGAAAGTTTTATCTTTGGAAAGAAGAGAGGATGCCTCTAACATGGAAAGAAAGGGAGAGATCGACTAGAGATTTGGACCTGAAGGGAGGAGGAAAAGGCTCTTACTTGAATTCCTCAAAGGTTTTAAGCTGCAGGAAACCTTGTGGACTCGTTCTATTACTAGTCTTTCTAATTCATCCTTCCTAGTTAATTAACTGAGATTCTGAAATTACTTTATCTGAAATGCACCCATCATGTTTCAAAGGGCAGGGAAGTTATTTACTGTTTTCAACAAACACTTTATCAAGATTTTGTATGTAATATTTTAGATTCCTCATGCTTTTGTGACTAACCAAAGTAACAAAATATTATAGTAGCAAATGGTATTTTTTATGATTTTGTTCACTACAACAAAATAAAATTGAGCAAATATAAAGTAATTACTTCTAATTTATGAAATTAAATTTATGAGAATAGTGTTAAAGAATGAAGACTGATTTTAGAAGCATCTTTATATATTTGTGTGTGTGTGTGTGTGTGTGTTAACAGGCAGACTTTTAATGACTTTCTAAGGTTCTGCAGTATTTACATGAGTACAAACCTCATGCAGCTCAAATAAAGCCAGCTTGTATAATTCTTATGTATAAAATAGTAACTTCTAATTAAAATTCTTAATACTTTTATAACTAAGCTGTTCTGAGTCCCTACATTTTAGATGATAGGGCTGTATTTAACCTGCGTTGAAAGGTTTTCTTTTTATTATCATAGATTTAGCAGATAATATTATGTAGGTTTTCACACCTTTTATCTAAAAATATATTTTATAATTAACTGAACATCAGATGACAGATGTACCTGTCACTTGGTGACTTTATATATCACTCAGACCTTACCACATCTTGGTTTCTTATAAAATATTCAAGAATTCTAATTTCTCAGAGGAATCACATAAGGAAAAGAGAAAATTCTCTTAATAGGAAGTTTCCAAGATGTGATCCATTTAGGGAAGAGAATGTCTTCTGTTACATAGGACTATAATTTGGATTCTGTCTCTGTCCTTAGTACCTCAGTCTTCTGGGACAAGTTATCCATCCTTTGCAAGAATTTACAAAATGGGAACAATGAGTCTGCCTTCCTTATATGAACATAGGGTGATCATGCACATGATCCAAGGCCTGGCATAAACAGCTACTTGGGAAATGCTGACCCTATGACTATTTCTATGGAAGTCATGAGAGAGAACATAACTGAAGGACAAACCTGGGAGGAGATGGAAGAAGACCACTTTAACTGAAATTTAGGACACTCCACAAGCATTAAGCTAAGAATTTTGAGTGACTTTTCATAAAGTCAGTGCTTTATCTAAGGATATTGAAGTCAGTGTGGTAGGAGGAGGAGAAATTATCAATTTCTTATTGGATTTGTTTGTCTGTACTTAGGTTTTAGTCATGCCTATCCCTATGTAAACTATGTGTATATTTCATAATCTCTTAAGACCATAGACATTAGGACTCGCATTAAAATTTACTCTCATTTGCCTTGTAAAACACAGCTAAATTGCCTGACTACTCCTTCGCTTCGCCTCATGAATGCCTGACTTATAGGTCTTGTGAGCATTATACACAGGCCAGCTTTATAATTATCTTTGTGATACATATAATTTTTAAGCCTGGAAGGAAAAGCTGAATTGAGTATTTAGGAATCATCCCACCTTTTCCTTCAAATTTATCACCTTTGTAACTGTACACAATTTGTACTCAGGTGTGATTTGAGCTCTATTTACTAGTCTCTATGTTTATCTTTAGAACTCAGGTCCCAGAAGCTGATGCCTGATTTGGACCGCAAAATTATCTAACAGTCCACTTCAGATGTATGTGTGTGTCAGAATGCAATGCTTTGTGCCCTGAAACAGTCATATGTCCTGACCTAGACTGACAGTGACTCTTGATGCAGAAGAAAAACTCACCTGTGTAGATGGGGGCACTTCTTGCGTCTCATTTATAGATCTCTCTGGTCGGGCTTTCATTTGTTCATAGCAGTTTTCATCTATTGGTTCTTGGGAGCCAAAAGATTATGATTTACAATTGAAAAAAGAAAATTGCCAGCACAAATTAAAATACATTCCCCAAATAATATTTAACTTTAAATATAAAAAAGCCTTCAAGAATTTTGTAGTAGAGGCTTTCTGGTGGAGATGTAAGGAACAAAAGAAGTGCAAATCCTCACCTGCAAATCAGATGGTAAAATGTTTAGTGCCACAGCATTTATGTGACAAAAAAGAAATCCCTGCAATAAGGACTGGATAATATATTTTTAATACTATTGCAAGACATGATGGTCTTAACTTAAACTACCACTTAGATGTTCTAGAGATCCCATGAGTTAAACACAGGACTGCCTGTGTTTTTTGCTATTTAGGAGTGATTGTATATTGTGCATGGTGCATAAAACAGTGCACGTACAATTTTGTAGTATCCTCTGTGGGTAAGAAGTTTTACTTAGGGGCATTTTAAAGTCCAATATTTTAATTTGATAACAGAGAGTTTAAATAACGAATACCTCTACTGGAAATCCATGACTGGACAGCCTAATCAGGTTGTGCTAAGGGTCTGAGGTCATATAATGCTGGTCCTAACTTTTGGGGGTTTTTGTACAGAGTCCATCAGCCAGTAGATCTATATGCTTATTTCATCCTTTGGGGACATGCTTATTTCTTCACCCAGCTATGCTCATTTAAAAGGGAAAGACAGAGAGGTAATGATGCATACAATGGTCAGTATCCTGGTAGAAATGTAGAGTCAGCAATTTGATCCAAAGTCCATGAAAAGTGCATATTATGAAAAAACTATGCATGAATTTCAACATTTTTGCATCAAAATAAATATTTAATTTAATTATCCACAAATATTTTCTGGATTTAATTATTTTAAAGGCAGAATGACAAAGAAGGAGAGGGGAAGGTGGAGAGAGAATCTTCCATCCATTTATTCATGTCCCCAAATGGCCACAATGGACTGAGCTGAGCTAGGCTGAACCCAGGAGCGTGGAACTCTAGCCAGCCCTGGAATCTGGGTGGTGGCAAGGTCCTTAGTGTGTGGGCCCTCTTTGGCTGTCTTCCCAGGTGCATTAGCAGGGAGCTGGATAAGAAGCAGAGCAGGCCAGATGTGAACCAGTGCTCTGATATGGGATGTCATCTTTGCAAGTAGTCGCTTAACCCATAGTGTCACAATTTCAGCCCACAAACTTTTTGAAGTACCCTCAGATTCCTGAAAAATAGTTTCAGATTCCTTAGAGTATAGCAATTAGGGGACAAGTTATAATGGAAGGAAAGACAAAATTAAATAAATTCTTGAATCCCATAGAATTTCTATATTGTTAACTTAGTAACATTTCATATTTTGAGATAATATATTTTAAGTTTATGTTATAGTCAACAGAATATTGGCTACACTAAATACAGTGTTCATCAAATAAAAAGGGAAAAGACCATAGTCTAGCAAGAGAATAGGAATAGGTAATACACAACAATCAAAGGGAAAGATATCCACTTCACTCATATAAAGTAAATTTTAAAACAGTCATGAAACCATTGAGACTATAGTATTATGTAATGCTTATTAATTTTTTTTTGGAAAATATTTAAAACAAAGCTTGGCAAAACACCAAATTTGCAGCAAAATCGAAACATCTTCAGAAAAATTTAGTACATGACTGGAAATCTCTGTGCTCTAGTCTTAACAGGTCAACGGAAAATTACTCCAGAGTTCCCCAGCATGAATTTTGTGAGTGCTTACAGAGAAAAGTTGTGAATTTCTATCATCAGAACTCCAGTGTTGTCTGTTTTGAGGAATGTAGGGTGTTTCACTTTTAGGTGACTAAATGATAGAAGCAACAAAAGATTCTTGGAATTGTTAATTGAAGAGAATTTCTCCTTTCAGGGCCATCAGTACAGTCCAAAGTCCTTTGCTAAAAAAGAGTAGGTAAAAATACCCAGAAAGCCTGAGGTTTTCAATGTTCCAAATTATTCACTGTAGATTTCCTTTTGTGTACAGAATAGAAAGCACTGATTATGTGATCAGTTTTTTTGTCCTAGAAATAGCTTTATTTCACAGAATTCTGTATGTGTCAAAATTCACTGTAATAGATTCTTCCTATATTCTCAATACTACTAGAGTTAAATAAGGAGAATATAGAAAAACAGGGTGTTGATTAATCTGTAAATTGTAACACAATCTATAATTCATGATTTTGGAAACATATGAAATATACCTGAGTTTATGGTTACCACTGGGATATTTAATAGTGATCATGATTTTTAAAAATCTATCTCAAATTCTTTGGAAATTAAGTGGAGTTTACTTAATTTATTAATAAATTTAATTTGTGGAGAAGTAAAACTTACCTGGGATTATATTATCTAAGTTACCATAAATTGGTGTGTCTTCAATATAATCTTCATCAACCCTAGAGTAAGAAAAATAATTGATCTTATTAGAGTCCAATTTATACACAATTAGTTATTGATCTATCACCAGAATTCAGTATTGAGTGAACTATTGCATGTTCTTGTTCAACCTCAACCAAACAAGATAGATGTGTGTTCATGTGTGAATGAGTGAACATATGCTTGTATATATATGTATGTATACCCATGATTGAATTTTAACTATTGAAGTAATAATAGTTAATGCTTATTCATCTCTCCCTGTGTTTCACATGCTTCTTGAAGTACATTTCATATGTTTGTTCATGTAATTCTCAGACCAATCCCAATCTGGTAGGCTATACATCATCACCACTTCACTGATGGGGAATTTGAGGCACAAAGAAATTATATAACTTGATCAAGATCACAATACTAGTAAATAGCAGCCCTGGGATCAGAATTAAGTTATCTGTGCTCTTAACAGTACAACTATATTTTCTTTTTACTTACCCAGAATACTAATGTCACAGTTTCTTAATCTTATGTTTTCTGGGGCCAGCTCTGTGGCGTAGCAGGCTAAGCCTTCGCCTGCAGTGCCGGCATCCCATATGGGTGCTGGATGATGTCTCGGCTGCTCCTCTTCCCATGCAGCTCTCTGCTATGGCCTGGGAAAGCAGCAGAAATGGCCCAAGTGCTTGGGCCCCCTACACCCTGGCTCCTGGCTTCGGATCGGTCCAGCTCTGGCCATTATGGCCATTTGGGGAGTGAACCAGTGGATGGAAAACCTTTTTGTCTTTCCCTTTCTCTGTCTATGACTCTACCTCTCAAATAAATAAATAAATCTTAAAAAAAAACCACTATGTTTATTATAGCAGGCATTTAGCTTAGCAATTAGCACAGTTTATCCTACCCCAGAGTGCCTGTTTGAGCCCCAGTTCTAGCTTCCACTCCAGTTTCCTGCCAGTTCAGAGCCTGGGAGGCGGTGGTGTTGCCTCAGGTGGTTGGGTTCCTACCACCCTCATGGGAGCCCTGGATTGAGTTCCTGGTTCCTAACTCTGACCTCAGCCTAGCTCCAACCATTGGGAACATTTGAGGAGTAGATAAGAAGATGGAGGCAATTTCTCTCTTTCTCTTTCTTTTACTCTCTTCCTGTATGTACAACTCTCAATCTCTCTCTGCCTTTTAAATAAATAAAATGTACTTATTAAAAAAAAGCTAGAAACTATGTTTAGTTTATCTTAGACACAGGTTGGCAGATTCAATAAAATTGAATGTCTTTTTATGTCCAGGTACTAGTTTAGGTATTTTACATATATTATATGAAAGGCCCAGAGAAAGTATACAAAATTAATATTATTTTCCATTTCCTAAGGGATAAGCCTGAGATTCAAGTATATGAACTTATTTTAGGCTTATGTGTAATGTCAATAATTACTATGAATTATGACAACTTTCTTCCGTGCCAGTGCTCATTTGACCACAAGACAATCCTATTCTATGTACATTCTTATCCCTATTGTGCCTATAAGAATTTTCAGTTCTCCATGATTCTGAAAAAAAGATATGATATATGTAAATAATGTGAAAAACAGTTCAAATGATACCTGCATGAAATGGTTTGGAAAGTGTAGATTCTGTGTGTATTTTGCTTATCTGATAACAAATGAACTAATTCATAACCTTTCTTTCCATCTAGTAGTTAAATACAGCTTAATATTGTGATAGAGAGTCATCTCTGCTTATTTTTTCTCTTGATTAGAAAAAAAAATAGCTAAAGGTAGAGAATTTTTAATAAAACAACCCATCTATTTTTCTTATCCCACATAGATAGCATGTACAACTGGCAAATGATAAATCATGTAAAAAAAAGTGAACTTCATTTCATTCCTTATAAATGAAAATAAGATGTGATTTTTAATGTAGTGTCCTATGAATACAGGCAGGTCTCAAATGATTAATCAATGCAAATAAACTATTATTCAAGAGTAGTTTTTGATGAACAAACTAAAACATGTATTTTTACTTAGCAGAGCCTGATACCCCCAGTCTATTGTAAAGATGTTGAAAACTTAATCAATAAATCTTTGGCAGTGCTTTATGTGGAAGATAATAGTAATTAACTTGAAATAAATAAACAGCCCTATAAATGAAACACTAGTGCACCTCTGAGTTTGGGGTCAGATCGCACTCTCCTTTTCTATGAATACATCTGAAATGGTCTTCTAACCAATAACTGCACATACTGACACTCAAAAATGATAAAAAATGTATAACAATTATATCTTAAAAGTATGTTTCAAATATTGTGCTTTCATTTATGTTTTTCTCTAGTCTCTATTTTAAGATTTTTATTTTATTGTGAAATCTTTTTCAAAAAAATCCTTAAAGAGTTTATGGATTCAAATAACTCATTTTAAAAATTATTGTTCCTGCCCGGACTTAAATTCTCCATTCACTTGTCTAACTTGTAAAGCAAGAATATTAAAGTAGTTGATTTCTGTGGTTCTTTTTGGTTCTAAAATTCTTTGATGTAAATGTAGGATTCAAAAAATTTAAATAATACTTAAAAATATTTCTACAAAATTAAATAAGACTGTCTCAGTGGGCTGGAAAGTTGAAGATTAAGAAAAGTGTATGTTTAGAGGTTTATCATAATCATAAGTTTGTTTGGGCTAATGTTTATTTTATTTACTTAATGGAATTTCCTTGAATAGATGGGAATATGTCTGGGTCCCAGCAGCATAGAAAAGTTATTTAAAGTCCTGAAAGAGGGTAAAATTGTTTATGGAATGAGTTTAGGTAGAGAAGAGGTTCACTACAGGAGCCCTTGGGAACTCTGGTGTTCAGGTTCAGCTGTTAGTAAGAGAGAAGGGAAACAAGAGAGGTGGCTCAAAGCCCAGAGAAGCAAGCATCCCAAGTGAAGAGTGTCAGTTTGCCAAATGCTATAGATGGACCCAGGAAGATGAGACAATGATTTGACCTTGGACAGTTCATTGGTGACCTTCACAAGAGCTGACTCTGGATTAGTGAGGACAGAAGATCAGATAGAGTAATCCCAAGAAAGAGAAGCAGGCAAATATGGACAGAATGTAGGTGGATCCTTCAGGTTTCGCCATATGGGAAGCAGAACAATAAAGAAATAGCTGTAGAAAAACTGCTTTTAAGGGAGCTTTTTTGTTTTAGCTTTTGGGTATATGTAATATAGTCTGCTTAAGGTGATTTTTGTGTATCTCTCTAGTCCCAAGTATGACCAGAGAGATATTAAGATCACCAAGAATAACTTGGAGGTTGCCAAGGACTTGTTTAAAAGTGTTTTCAAGTCTGACAAATTAAAAAAAAAAATACGGTCTGCTTATGCATTCATATGAATGATGCAAAAGGGATAGAACAGGTAATGATGCAGGGAGAAAAGGGAAAGCTGCCAGAGTGAGATGTTCCTAACTATTTGATTATTACAATTTTGCCATCTTTGATGGGACTATGTCATGGATGTAGGTGCCTTGTACTTGAGGTGAGAGAGCACCAAAGGCTGACGTTGTGGCGCAGTGGGTTAAATAGCTGCTTGTCCTGGCTGTTATGCTTGCCATCCAGCTTCACACTAAAGCACCTGCGAAATGATGACTCAACTGCTTGGGCCTCTGCCACCCATGTGGGTTTCCCAGATGGAGTTCGCGCCTCCTGGCTTCAGCCTGGCCTAGATCTGGCTGTTGTAGCTATTTGGGAACTGAATCAATGGCTGGAAAAAATCTCTCCCTCTCTCTTGCTCTCGCTCTCGCTCTCACTCTCCCTCTCTCGCTCTGTCTTTCAAAAAGTAAATTTTTTAAAAAGAACTCTAGTCCAGAGGAAAAGTTCAAGCCCCAGCAATATTTCATGTGGCTAGAGATTAAGAAGTAAATTTCAGTGCTGTTCTTTGAGAAGCAATGATATATAGCGCAGTGAGGTTGTACTACCAGTAACTGAAGCACTTAAAAAGGAGGAAAGATTTCTAGAGCAGTGATACAGAGCTGGGAAGTGACAAAGAGGTAAGCAAGAATAAGATTTTGGAGCATATTAGCACTTCCCAGGCACTCACAGAAATACTTAGGAAGGGGGTAGACTTCTTGCAGTAACACAGGATAACTTGTACACAAAATCAAGTAAACTGGAGGCTGGAGAACTTAAAGGCACTTTGATTACATGTGTGGCAATGGTCATACAGAGGGCTTCATTTGCATACCTACTTTGGAGTAGATGTCAGAGAAGACGACCCAGTGCTATCATCATGAAGATGCTCAACCCTGAGAACACTTGTGAAGTAACCTGAGACTGAAGGTCTGCTCCAGGGGGCTAGTTATATTTAATTACTGTATTTGGCAAAGAAGGGAAATGAAAAGGATTCCCATCCTGCAGAGTTCCAAAAATCTAATCAATTACCCTGAAGTGGAAGGGTAGCTGGACTGAGATAATGTTTTCTGGTTAAAGGGACTACAGGGCCAGCCAGGAGCAGTCAATGCAAAACTGCAGGGAAGTTGTCCTTATTTCTTTAAAACTATCACCATAAAATTTTTGAGAGAGACTGAAAGCTGAGCAGGCATGATAAACTTAAATTATTGTAAATCTGAACTGCTGTTGTAAATTAGGCAATGAATATATTGCAAGTGAGTAGGAATTTTCTGAAACCTTAGTTCCATCCAATAAGCAGCAACTTTTTCAACTTCCCTGTTTTTTACTTTACAGTAAAAAAACTGAAGTTCACCAGTGCACATTTTATGAAGCTATAAATCTACAATTGAACAATTTGATTAAAAACCAGAATTCTCTGGATCCCTGACCCATGCTATTTCCACTGCACTACCTTCCTTATTCAAATCAAAAGAGAAGAATGGTGTAGAAGTATATTTTAAATGAAAAATAAAGTGGCCATGGGAAAATACCATAAAGTATATATTTGGGTTTATGGTCTGTTTTTGATGCTGTTCTATTCTTAAATTCATTGTATTTCTGATCTACTATCTATTAAGGGCAGGGATTTGGGGAGACATGAAGACAAGATCAAATAAGCCAATTGTTTCCTGTCTAGTCTAGTTGTCCACCAGAACAAATATTGAATAGAGGTAGGAGAACATGATGGAGAACCGATTATTCCAACGTGATAGAAGCTTGTCTCATTTCTGTCTAGCCACAAACCGTTCTGAAACTGAAGCAGCGTCAGTAAATCTTGCCCTTATTTCTGTTTGCTTTGTTTTAATGTTTTAAATGTTAATGACTGAATCTAGCTTTTTGTTTGTTTGTTTCCTGGAGCCTCCATGTGCCCCCTTGTAAAAGTGATGCTGATTCCCAAATCACACAATCAAAGGAAATACACAGCTTATAAAATACATAGACTTATAAATTAAAATACCAGTACCTTCTCTAGATAAAATCTGTATTATATCCTCAAAATTTGCCTGAGTGGAAATTTATTACCATAAAATGTTAAATCCTTTAGAGTATGTCTATATCTATCAATTCCTGTCTTTCTGTCGTTGCAGGACAAGCAGAGTTTGGTCAGCCCAGTTCTCCCTTGCTTGTAATTTTCAAGAATAACCATAGGTGTGCTGGGAGTGCAACATTCTGGATTAAAGATCTGGCTGTGATTGGTCCAGTCCGCTCTAGAAGCACAGTTGTGCTCCTGAGGTGTAGACACAATGTGGGCAGCTTTCTCTGGTCGCTCAGCAGAAGTACAAGTGCAACAGGTGCAGATAACGTCCCATTCACCACCTAACTTGGTTTTCCTGAGCCTTGGGGAACCAGCTTACAGTGAAACCTAGGCTTCTGTTGCCCCTTGCTGCCCGTCTGTAAGTGACCAACCTGCCTCATGCAATTCACTGCTTGTGTGAGTGTTCTGTCTCACCAGAGTCAAGTGAGCCTTCACCGTGCAGTCCAAAGTGTAGTGTGTGGACTCCCATTCTTGGTGGTTGGCAAGTAACGGAGTTTCCCACTGTCCTTGCAGTGGGAGTCCTCACTTGGGACTTGTAGTCAATGTACTTTTTATCTAATTGTTTAGCATAGTGCTTGTTTATTAATATTTATTCACTGAATGGTTTTATAAAAGAGCAAGCCTCTTTTCCGCACTTGCCCTATGGCTAAGAGCCTGCTGGCACTGAGATGAGTAATTTATCAGTTTACCCCTCTGGCTCTTCCCATCCTAGTTCCCAAACCACCAATCTGGTCTTTAGCTAAATGAACTTTCCATCACATTATATCTAAATTGCCTTACAAATTACAAGTATCAAACCAATCACCAAAGAGATTCACTTCTACTTTGTAGATATTTAGGACTTTATTCACGTTTGTTTTAGCAAACTGTAAGGTGATCATCAAATCATTCAATATGAATTAATGACTTGAAATTACCTAATGTTAAAAAATCTGAGGGTGGGGCCGGCACTGTGGTACAGTGGGTAAACCTGCCGCCTGCAGTGTCAGCATCCCATGTGGGTGCCAGTTCATGTCCCAGCTGCCCCACTTAGGATGCAGTTCCCTGTTAATGGGCCAGGAAAAGCAGCAGAAGATGGCCCAAGTGCTTGGGCCCCTGGACCCACATGGGAGACATGGATGAAGCCCCTGGCTCCTGGCTTAGGCTTGGCTCTGCCCTGGCCTTTGCAGTCACTTCACGGTTAACAAGCAGATGGAAGATTGTCTCTCTCTGTCTCTGCCTCTCCCTCTCTGTAACTTTGACTTTCAAATACATCTTTAAAAAAAAAAGTCAAAAGAATCTGAAGCTAAGCGTAATCATAAAAATAAAAATTTGGTGCATTTGTGTATGGGAGTGCCTGCAGCTCAGATCCTGAATCTGCTAGAGACATTTTCACACGTGAAAGATTTTTTTAAAGCATTTTAGAGGCCAAAAGAGGCTCCAATTCTTATCCTACACAGTGCAAAGCTCTGCTTTTCAAAGCCTTTTCAGTCTAGCAATTTCAACATCCCTCTAGGAAATTTTTTGATTTAGATTTTTTTCTACTTCTAAAACAAAAATCTCCAAATTAATTATATGTTTGGGTCAGGATATTCTGTCCAAGAAAATGAAATTTCTGTAGTAGAATTTACACCATAAACTTTACTTTTTTTTAAAAAAAAGTTGATACTGTAAAATTTCTCTGCAAATACCTCAGAAAGTATTAAATAAAATAATTTATATCTATAATTGTATATTATTTTATAGCATATATGTATTACATTTTCCTGTTATCATTTCCCTTACAAACAGCACATTGCCAAACAGTTTTGTTTTTTTAATGTGTTTGTATACAAATCTTAAATTATACTTGGTAATGCTAGATTTTTTTGTACTCCGAATTCTGAGACATAAATCTGTATATAGTTAACTGCATTCCAACAGGCTGATCTGAGTCCTAATTAGGATATATGCTCCTGAAATGAATGAGAATTCTGTAGATGCCAGCATAGAGTCTCATTTCATTCTTCATCTGGCTCTCTCATTGACTCAGGATGAGTTAATAATTAGGGAAGATAGTAATCTTGTAGCTTTTAATCTTCAGATGGGAATAAAAGTAATTAAAATTCACTTTTAATTTTATTTTAACCCAAGTTCAATATCCTTGAGCTAAATCTATAAGCAATGTAACATTTTTTACCTTTCCTTATTAGTTGGGCATCACGAATCAATTTCAACATACCTGGGAATGTAGTCATCAGAGTATCTGTACATATAATCTGAAAGATATTCAAAATACACAAATTAAAATAATCTTTGATATACATTTGTTAAATCTACAGACCGTTCTAGGGTAATATTAGCCTAAGTGTCAGTCAACATCTTTGATTAAGTCATTTGAGCTATCTCTAATTAAACTAGGGATAAAAACATAACCTATTTGGACCATTCAGATTCTCTCTTGATAGTTTAGAATGGAAATAGTACATCTTGTAAGTGATATGGAGCCTGGAGGTATGGCCATTTTATTCGGGGAAAGACTACGGAAAGAAATGGGGGGCCTCCATTCCTGCCTCCCTGTTGGTGCAGTCCTTTGTGTGGCATGCCCGTACTGTCTGTCCTTCAGTTCCAGGAAACACCTCTGCATCCTTCAAATAAGTTTTTCTCTTCGTTCACACTTGGACAGGGTTTTTTTTTTTTTCCCCTTACCATAAATAAATAAGTACATTAAATTAAAAGAACAACAACCAAAAAAATTGAAAACCATAGGACAATCCTGTGTGTGTGTGTGTGTGTGTGTGCGTGTCTGTGTCTCATTTATCCAACTATCCTAAAAGTGTTAACATTTCTTGGCACGTGAGCAATGACACAAAATAATATCAAGAAGGTGGTTCTGGTCATACTGACCCGCCATCCACATGGTACCAATAGTGGTAAGGAAAGATGAGGGTCCCAGGAAGAACCTGGACAAGGCTTTAAAGCAGTGTTTAGAATTAATCAAAACAGTAAGATGGCTTCTATAGGAAATAATTCCCTTTGGTCTGCAGAGACAAGGCTTACCAGAATTGTTATTAGACCAATAAAACCATGAAAAAACTATGAGCCACAACTCAGTAAGTAACCCACTGTTGAAATTTGAAGTTAGTCGTTCAAAGGCAAAATAAAGGAAGTATTTTTATTTCTAGTTAAATGCATATATATATTCAAAAAGATACGGGAAAACATGGTTTTAATATTTTTTAGTGAAAGCAACAGATTCATAATGATTACAAGAAGAAAATTAAGAAAAAATTTAGAGTACTTTTTTTTTTTTGCTTTTAAAAGTTTTATTTCAAGAGAGACCCCCCCATCTGCTGGTGCCACCCCCAAAGACCCAAAATGGGCAGAAGGAGGGATGAAGCCAGGAGGCGGAGGGAAATGTTGGATCCTAGGTGGGTGGCATGGGGAGGGGATGGGGGTAAGAACAGCAGGAGCAGGAGACTGGAACGGAGAAGTAACCAGGAACTTATACAAGGCACTTAAGAGGTGACGCCAATGGCTTCCACCCTCAGTTTGTGGTTCTCTGCCCCCTCTTGCTGCAATCAGCTGCACTTAAAGATCAACCCATTCTTTTGAGGTGGTTTCACCCCATAGAGTGTCTGGGTTCGATTTCTACCTCCTTACACCAACCCAGCATGGGGCCTAAGCTTACCGGATCTCCATTGTTGTTTTTTTTTTTTTTTTTTTGACAGGCAGAGTGGACAGTGAGAAAGAGAGAGAGAGAGACAGAGAGAAAGGTCTTCCTTTTTGCCGTTGGTTCACCCTCCAATGGCCGCCGCGGCCGGCACGCTGCGGCTGGCGCATCGCGCTGATCTGAAGCCAGGAGCCAGGTGTTTCTCCTGGTCTCCCATGGGGTGCAGGGCCCAAGGACCTGGGCCATCCTCCACTGCACTCCCGGGCCATAGCAGAGAGCTGGCCTGGAAGAGGGGCAACCAGGACAGAATCTGGCGCCCCGACCGGGACTAGAACCCGGTGTGCCGGCGCCGCAAGGTGGAGAATTAGCCTACTGAGTCACAGCGCCGGCCCATAAGCTTCTGGATTCTAAACAGAAGCATCTGTGTGAGCTTGGGGCTAGAATTACTGGCACTGAGCCACCCTCCCAGGACCCTGGAAAACACCTTTGGGGTTACTACCACCCCCACAGCACGGCAGCACTACAGGCCCCCTGCTCAAACCAGACCAGATCTTGGTATTACCCCATAAGCTCTGGGAGGCACCTGCCTGGCACAGGCAGGGCCGGGTAGCTGCCCCCTCCCTAGTACATAATGCTCAGTGGAGCAGCCTGTGAGGAGGTAGGATATCCCGGTGAGGCTTCCTCAGCAGTGGGGTACAGTTTTGATAATGAAGATCCTTATTATGAAGAAATCTGTATAATCCACTCAAGAAATATTGATGTTGAACAGGATTGAGACATATAGCATGATATTTGTTATATTTGAATGCTTCTTATTCAAATTGATATCAAATAAAACCTATTCATAGAAAAATAAGACCAGTGTTATCTGAACCTCTGACCATGACTCAGCAACTGTAACCAAATGGTGATCTTTCAGATTTAACAAATGATGAAGCACTGTTTGTTGGTAAGGAACTGACAATAACATTTTCACAAAATTAAGTCACCAAATGGCTACAATATTACTTTTAGTTAGATTTCTGTGCAACAAAGTTCAGTTATACGCAAGAGATGTTACTAATCATTAAAGAAACATTAGTGGAACAATTTATGAAAATAATCACAACGGCAGATGGACATGTCACACATCAATTTGTCTGGAAGAATTCTGTGAAGGACCAAATGAGGGAAGATTTATTTAGTAAATTGCTATGGGACCAAAAGTGAAGAATATAATTCATTTGGGATATGTCAGAAATACACGTCATCTAGTCCACAGGAAGTGTCCTACCATGAGTTGCACATAGGAGATGCAGTTATTATCAACTTTTTTCAGATTAGTTGTGTGAATATGAATGGACATGGATGCTGGGAGAAGGCCAAGAGAACACAGTGATGGTACACAGTGGCCAGTTAATAACAGTCCAGGAGAATCCAAAGCTTTGAGAAGTTAAAATAATATCAGTAATCTCAGAAGAAAAAGTAGCTAATACAGGTCAGAAAATTGTCCATTGGAAAATAAAACAGGAGGTGACATACATGTTGGTTTCTATGTGAAGGGAATGCTTATTCTCAGGTGATTATTATGATTATTATTCAGATTTGTCTGGAATTAAACTGCATGTACAAAAATTTAGTCAAATTGTAGCCTAATACACTATGGGAAAAAATCAGAGTAAGGAAACAAAAAACTTCAGATTTGGGACCACATCTGCCAGGTATTTGCCATAAGACAACAACTTTAAAACTGTGATTCTCAGTTTTTCAACAAAGTAGGGATATAATGTCTATAAGAAGGAATAGATGTGGAAAAGTAAATACAATAATTCGTTAAAACATTTTATAAAATGAAAAAAAATCCTTATGGATATTGTACATCATAATACATGTGCTATAACAAGCCACAGTTTTGCTGTGACTATTTCAACTGGGAAGTTTCTTCATTAAATGAGTTAGCTGAATCAGGCTGGCACTACTAAGAGGGTATTTTGAACTTAAAAAATTCATAAATAAGACTTGATTTGGAATAAAATTACTAAACTCTCACCTTTGACAAGAACAACTAAACATTAACTTGAAAGAAAAGACAATGATAATTTGAAAACAAAAATAGTGTCACTTTTAAATTAGAATAAGAAAAAAATGGAATAGAGTAAAAAAATCCTCCAAAACATACTAATACTTTTAGAGGAGAATATAGATTTTTTTCAATTGGAAGGGTAGGAAGTACAAGTGTTAGTGCCTGAAAAGTGTACTTGTACAATACACAAACGGATAATTCTGCAAAAGGCAGACACAGATGAATGGATCATGAACAGAAAACAAAATTAGAAGTAAGAACAGAAAGCATTGTGGGAAGAAAAAGGAACAGAAACAGCTCCATAAATGATACAATATAATAATGTGATGCTCATATAGAAGGAAAGGAAATGAAAACAATGGGAAAAAAATAAGTAATGGGTAGAGGACATTACATTTCAAACCAGCTCTATTGAAGAAGCACCCTGAAATTGGATTTAAGAAGTTCAAGAATATCACATACCACGAGACTTTTAGAGTTTAAGTGTGTAATCAGGAGCTGAGAGATCAGTATTGAGTGATTTTAGTTTTATACTATAAAACTTCTTCCTAGAAGAAGACTAATAAAATATGATCTCTTTCAATGGGGGCAGTAATGAAAGAGTCGGAGGTTATAAATGAGACTAAAGGTCAGCAAGCCCAAGCTCCTAAAAAGATCTTGCTCTGTCATAAGGGTTCATATGTTTATTTAAAAATACCCTCTGCCTTGTAATTTTCAATGCTATTTAGCAAAGTTTAAAAATGTGCTTTGAAACGAAGCAGTTAAATGCGTAGGATTGCATGTGAGAAGAGGTAGGTAAGTTTTCAAAATTCTCTCCTGTGATTCATATGCAAACAGTTGTGGTCAGGTTCACGGTTGAGAGGGTATGATGCAAATACATCTGCTTTTATGTTTTCTCCTTTCTAGTGTTCATCCTTCTATGCACAATTCACTGCAACAAGAAACAGCCGCTCATTGTTGGAACTCCATCATAAAATCTTTCTGATACATTTTCATCATGAAAATATGAAAAATGACATGAATTTCTACTGAATAGCAGATACACAGATAGGCCTTTCATGAATGACAAGCCATGCACTTATTTATTCTCCCCAAAACAGAGAGGGAGCACTGGATAAAGAATATTCTTTGGATTTAAAGGAGACAAAACTAGTATATACCTATCAGAAAATGAAATAAATACAATCCTCCTAAGGAACGGAATTGGACAAAGAATCACAAACAAATGAAAGATTTATTTTCAGGGGAAGAAAGAACCATATTTTAAGGCTCCTACCTAGCTGCTAGAGGAAACATCAAGGAGAGGCTTATCTTGTCTATCTGATTGAATGTGTAGATACTGTACGGTTGCTGGGATAGAGATTTTCTTTTGTAAACTATTTGATACACCAGCAACACTTATTCACTGACTCTTTGCCAAGGTGGAGTCATATCTTGCAGGTTTCTTAGCCACAAAGTATAGCACAAGTTGCAAACATGAAAAAGTTACAAGAGGCCAGATAGAGGGGCATTGCATTCACAGCCCAAGCTGGCTGCTATTGATGGAATCTCTTCTAATCTGTCCAGGAAAAACAAGACAGGCAGAAGGCTTCAGGAGGCCTGAGAAGGAGCCCAACAGTTTGCAAGATTAATCCCACATCTGCATAGACTCTGTGAGGGAGAACCATGGTATTTGTTCACATAACATGGAAAGGATGGCAGCATGATTACAATGTGAAGACATGTCACAAGTTGTGGAAAATGGAATTAAAATATAAGTTAATTTTGGTGCAAAAAGATAGAAATACATGCATACATTTTTCGTACTATGCATTTCCATGAACTTTCTGAAGATAGCTTGTAATTGTGGAAAGATGTCAAGAGAACTTGGGGCAGTTGGGAAAGGGCTGTAGCGAGGAAGCACAGAGCTGGGATGAAGACAATGAAGACAAAAGGCATTTCTATAGCATTGATATTTGCTGCTTCAAAGTAAACCTTGTGTAAGACCTACGGTTGTGTGGTCCACCTAAGGAGAGCCCATGACTGCCCAAATAACATGATTTGTGGTCCAATAATCTTTAGCACCAACTCCACAAAAACCTATAGAAAACTCCCTAAAAAACAGACTTGAATGTGACTTACATGACTTTACAGACTTAAATAATACAGAGAAGGGGGTAGAAAGTGAAGAGGAAGCTGGCGAGGACCTGGAAGGCATAGTGATAGTGTGGGTGCCGAAGAGGCCAGACGAAGTAATGTTAACTGAAATAACAGATTTTGAAATTAAATGAAATGACATGTTGCCACAATAGGCCCTTAATAATTATTTGTGGAAAGAGGGAAGGAAGCCCTAGGACTTCATAGAAGTTGATGTGGGCTGTAGCAGCCCTATGACCAATGCACTAATTTCCTTACACTGTGCTAAGGTATGCACATAGAATTCTCAAAATTCTATAGTCTAGATGGTATTTTCCAAATGTTATAAAGAAACTGAGATTCACAGAAGTTATGATACTTGACTTATATCACAAGATTTTCCAGCCAAATATCAATAGCAAAGTTCTAATTCACATCAGGTTGACTTCAAAAGTTTTGCTGTTAAAAAGTTGAGGGAATTGAAATTGATATGCAAAAACATCAATAAATACAATGTAATATTTCCTGATTTTTAAAAAATTTTAATATTTTCTACCACTCTACTTTTGGGCAATAAAGTCATATATAGTTTGTCTGAGGCAGTAAGAGCTTACACACTTGAAAAGCAAAGAAGAAAGAAACCTCTTCATAAAAAGCAAAATGAGCAGGTTTCTCATTTTTATTCAGGCTATTGTCTTTTACCACTGGTCAGCTTGCCATTTTAAGTAAACTACTTCATGAGGTTGTATAATGCAAAATGGTATGGACACAGGTAAATAAATTCCAATGCAAACACTACCAAAAATGAGAATTGTAAATCCTTTTCACGTTGAGTTGTAAAAAACTAAAAAACGAAGGTATGTTGAGTACTTCTGGGGCAGAAGTAATAAGTCAGTAAAATTAGCCAGTATTGATCTTGACCATGTTGGTTCCTAACATCTTTATTCATCACAATTCAACACAATTAAAAGGCTTAAAAACAAATGACTACTTAGATTGGAAATCAAATTTGCTAGTTGAAATCTGAATTAGACCACTGGGCTCAGATTAAACATGTCAATCTATCATTGCCCAGCCTGACAAAAAAGTCTTAAGAGTAACCACAGGCACTTAGTTAACAAAATAAGAGTAGAAGAAATTATTTTGGACAGAGAATCGGAAAAACTGGATACTTACTCTTGATTTTGCTATTAAAGTGTTGTATGATCTCACTCACTATGCCACTCATTTTTCAGTATCTCATTTTTTTCACACCTGTATTACCATAATAACTTCCTCATTTTTACATGTTATAAATACTTAAGAATATACTCCCAAGAAGACCAAGGACATTCCCTGTAATGTGACCATTGTTCTAAGTTAGATTTATGCAACTTTTCTTGGGCACATGTCTAACTTAATTTTGTTAATTTGGTTTCATTTCCTTTGTTAAATGAAAATGCATGTACCCTTTCTTTTATATTCTTTTCTTACTAATTAAGTGTTCTACTCCTAGGAGTTTCTTGGCTTTAGAATGTGAAGACACCTCCCAGAAGTAGTTGAGCTCTGATTCTTCCATCTTTCTATCCACGTACTTCACAGCATGCAAAGGCTGGGCCAATTGCTGGGCATTACAACTATTTCAGTCATGCTGCATGTGGGCAAAATCTGCATGGTTGATACTACTGCTCAGTCTGTTGAAAAATATGGCAGTAGAGGTTCCTCTTGACTTACCTACCTAGCCCCTGGGAGTGTTTGTTAAGAAGTCCAGGGTTCAGTCATTTGCTGTGCCAGTCCTGTTTGGAGTCCATCCCTACCTGAAATCCTATGAGGAACCTGAATGGTGCTGGAATATTGAGACGGCTTGAGTGGAAATTTAAGGAGCCACTTTCCACTTTTCCCATCATCATCACAGAGAGCCTTAGTGGTTACTCCAGAATATACCACAGTTTCATGTCTTGTTCAATGAAAGCAGGAAAAACCTGTTACCAGGATAATCCTTTCTAACTCTACACTGTCAGGCTGAGATAAGATAAATTTGGGAAGTTTTTTTTTTTTTTTTTCACTTTTTTAATATGATCACAGATTAAATTAAGACAAGCCTCAAGGTGAAAAAAATTAAAAAGATTTTCTACAAATAAAAGCATTGTATTGAAAGTTGCTTCATAAAATTGCCTACTGCCATATGTTTTTAGTGAGTTTACAGCCTCCACTGAAGCAGGTATCATGTGGCTACTTGTTAAAATGTCTTACCTTGTCGCTTCTTTTCCACATAGTGGGAAATGTTGAAGATCAGCGATATAACCAGAGCCAAACCCAAGAAGGCTAGAAGTCCCCAGAGAAAAAAGGGGCACCCAGAGTTTCCTGGAAACAAAAGTAAATATACCAGGTATAAGCAGCTGCTCACTCACTTGCTTTGTTCTATCTAAACCCACAATGAAAGCCATCACATTTATTCACAATGAAGGACCAAATCCTCTACCAGGAAATGATTAACATTGACAACCCAAAGCTTCTTACACATTTCAGAGTGGGTGTTGGTGACCTATTGGATATTAATTTGTTTCCCAGGAAATGTCAGGAAGAATCTGGATTAGGCATATCCACCACCATACATGTAAAAAATGCATTTCCTTTTGGAAGTTTGATCAGTATGAGTATAATCTCTACAAAAAATGAATTTGGAAACTACTGCCAGTTGTGCTAACCTGTAATAGGTCCAGTGGCAACCCCAGGAAATATATGCTTGCATGAATGCAGACTGTTGGTCACATCAGAGTCACGTGAATAGAAGCAATCTCTTGACTGACCTCAATTTTGAGAAGAATAAATGAGAATGTGTTCTCATCTCTTTTTTTTTCAAACTGAGAGACCTAAAGTTTTTATTTTTACTAATAAAATGCAAGCCATTTTACTAAAAGAACAGAACATTAGATGTTTTCTTGTGTTCTAATATGGTTCTCTCATAGACCAAGAGTATCATTTTCAAATTTTTGTTCATTCAAGTTATTCTAAGAGAAATAGTGGTTAAATAGTATCGCTTAAAATCTAAATTATTGTTTTTGGCAGATGTTCATCCATTGTTAAAACTTTAAGCATAGCAATTATACAGTGTAAAGACAATTTTGCAGAAAACTATAATATAACGTAAGTTCTCCAAGAATACATTTTACAGCTTATCTATAGTAGAGTTGAGCAGAAATTTGCATTGCCCAAAGTTAAGCACTTAATGAATTTATTAATAATTAACTTTGACTAAAATGTACTTGTAACCCTGCTTTAAAAATAGTGCAGTCTAGAATTATTGTATCAAACCCCTATGGCATACATCTTTGGACTTTGATTATTCACTTATCACATGCTGAAAAAAGGCAAAATTGATTTTGTTTGTACAAAACTATCAAGATCTAACCAGTAGAAAGAACTTTGAGGTCTTTATATTTTGGGACATGTCCCAGGAATGTTTGCAAAGTTTCTTAACAGAATTTTGAGACTGCTTCGATTTCACTGACCCTTAAAGCATACAATCCGCCCTAATGTAGCAACAGAAACTTAAACTTCAGATTGCAGTTAGAAATAGAATCTAAAATAATTTGTTATTGTCCTTTTTATTCTCTTTAATTTTCCACATTTTCAGAGCCAGCACTCTTGTACAATAGGTTAAGCCTCCACCTGTGGTACCAGCATCCCATATAGGCATCAATTCTAGTCCCATCTGCTCCATTTACAATCCAGCTCTCTGCTAATGCCCAGGGAAAGCAGTGGAAGATGGCTCAAGTGCTTGGGGCCCTTGCATCCATGCCGGATACCTAGAAGAAGCTCCTGGCTTTGGATCGGCCCAGCTCTGTATGTTGCAGCCATTCTCTCTCTGTCTCCCTCTCTCTCTAACTCTGCCTCTCAAATAAATGAATAAATCTTTTTTAAAAAAGGATAAAATTTTCCACATTTTCTGCCTTTGTTATCCAGGCAAAATATGGTTTAAGAAAAAGAATCATCCATATGAAACATACCATTGAACTAATTATTTAATAGGGATGCAGTGGACTATAGATAGTATTAATACATCATTTGGTGTTTCAAGTAGAAACTCCTGGGAATATTCTAAAGAATTGTTATATTTTTAGGCATATAGCTCATGTAGATATTATAATTAATCATTTGTTTTTGATAGATATTCTACTTTAAGCAAATCTCTAAGATTATGTAATTTGCTTTTTTTTATCTATTCATATCATTGGCTCTTTGATTTCTCTTTACCTTGACTTATTTACTTATCTTTTATACTATTATATGAACTCTAATACCTCTTTTTCTGAGGCAGGTGTAAATAAATACACATAAACAATAAATCTCTAATGTTTATCATCCTTGGGAGACCCAACATAATCTATCTCCTTTCTAGTGTTTTCTCCTTTCCATTTCCCACAGCTACTAGCATTTCGTATACACAGTTGTAGTTTGGACAAATTAAACATAGTATAAGAAGTCATACTTCAAGGAAGTAAGCAGAAAGTTGCAGTGTCATTTTAAAAATTGCACTGAGTCTAACTATAAATCATCCTATCATTTTGAAAAAATTGTATTTCAAATAGAATTTTTACTTTCTTCTTTCCAATTAAAGGGGAGAGTTAGAGTAGTTTTATTAGTCCATTGACTTGCACCAAAACATAATTTTGCTTTTAGGTACAAAGAAGCAATCACATCAATATTGCAAGCCTTCATTTTATACTAACATCTTTAAGGAAAGTCCCAATAATTGTAATAAACCGTGTCAATAGTACTAGGGCAAGAACATGGGTCAGGTTGTACATTCCTTTAGTGCAGTGTTTTATCATTTACTGTAAGAGTATGATTGTCTCACATAATCAGGTAGAGGTCATTTCAAACACAAGCTAAATTCTAATGTCTGTGAGGTTGTTTAGTAAGGACCAGAGTTTATCTCTGATTTTGAGAGTCTACATGTCCTAACACTCTCCTTTCCAATATTTTTTCTCTTGTAGTGTAGTGTGAAGCAAGTTTTCAGCAGGAAGACTTCCATTTTCAAGTTTATATTTCATGACTTTTTAAAATTTTTTACACTTAAAAATATTTTTCATTTGAGAGATCTTCCACTTCCATCTGCTGGTTCAGTCCCACATGACCACAACAGCCAAGGCTAGGCTAGAGCCAAGAGCCTGGAACTCTGTCTAGGGCTCCCACACAGGAAGCAGGGACCAAACCCTTAGGCCATCATCTGCTGCCTCTCAGAGCAGTAGCAGGAAGATGGATCAGAAGCGGAGCAGCTGGGTCTAGAATAAGCACTCTGATAGGGAATGCCAGTGTCACAAGCAGAGGCTTGACCTACTGTACAATGGCTGGCCCCTTTTACTCTTTTTTGATTGCCAATAATAAACAGCTCAACTTTGCAAAACAAAACAAACACACAAAAAGAGTAGCTACTTCCTAGCTTTCAGGGATGGGGATTGTCTGGACAGTGGGCCATATATAGCTTGTAAAATCATTTGGTCTGGCCCTTCCAAAGAAAACTTCCAGTGGGACCTGAAATTCAATATATCTGTAGCAGGCTAATTTCTAAGATGATAATTTTGTATGGCCCACAAGTAGAATTATAAATATCCAAATGGTCTTTTAGCAGAAAAAAAGGTTTTCCATCCCCGAAATGGTGAAAAATGTCAGCTTGAATGGTAGATCTGCATATACTCACACATTCACATTCCCACGATTTCATACCTCCCCTTAATCAATAATTCTTCAAGTGTTATATGTGTGAATATATATATATCCATATTTGTGTGGTATCTACTTAGTACAGACAGTGCCTCTTATAAAATTGGATGTGCAAAATGTGTGAAAATTCTTGTCAATAGGAGCAATCACTAGTATCATTGTTCATTGATTAAAATTACTTCTATTTATATATCTTTTATCAATTTAAAAAGAACTCTCATGCAATCTATATGTAGCTATTTAAACTATTAAAAGTCCAAAAGTACTCAAGAAATTATTAGCAATAACATTTAGGAGAAATGTGATTTATGTTTCGATCTTAATTTTAAACTGCCACAGGCTAATGGTGGCTGATTTAAAAACAGTATTTATTTGAGAGGTAGAGTTACACATAGAGAGAGGGAAGACAGAGAGAAAAGTCTTCCATCTGCTGTTTCACTCTCCAAATCCACATGGGCCAGAGCTGTGCTAATCCAAAGTCAGGAGCCACGAGCTTCTTCTGGATCTCCCATGCAGGTGCAGGGTTTAACACTTGGGCCATCTTCCACTGGTTTCCCAGGCAATAAGCAGAAAGAAGAGGAATAGCTGGGATGTTGGCACCACAGGCAGAGGTTTAGCCTACTATGTTACAGTGCTGACCCCCCGTAGATTCTAATTTAATAAGACCTATGACTCCATTAATACCAACAATAATTGGCAGGCACTGCATTTGAAATCTACAGTTGCATGTATTCTGGGAAGAAACCCAGCTAAGAAAATATAATATCTTCCTACAGGCAGGTTTGGTTTCCACAGAATCCTTTACTTCAGCAATCAACAATAGAGAAAGCGATAAATATAATGCCTTAATTATTTCTATACAGGCCGTCTTTAAGACAAGTGTGTGAGTTTAGAGTGTATAGTTTAGTACAAAGCTGTTCTTACTTGAGAACTCTATTACAGAAGGGAGCATCTTTGCATTTCAAGAATGTCTATATACACACCCATCATCCACGTCAACAAAAGGCATTGGAATCATAGACATTAGCACAGCAGGGAGCTCGCACATCACATCCAGGCTACCAAGTAAATATATAGTTATCAAAAATCTGAAATCCACCAATCTTTAACAAATATCTTTTATGAACAAAGAGTTGTTTGAGAAATGAATGGTGTATGTCAGGGAGTAGACTATGATGGGAAGAAGGATTATAGCAATGCCAGCTTTGGAATATCTGTTTTTAGTGCGGAGAAAGGAGAGCAGACAAATACTAGTTGTGTGATTGGTATTGTGCAAATCACTGAAT